TGTCAGGCCCACAAACCACTGCTTCTGTACCCCTCAACAAGGAGTCCATCACCACCACCACATGCCTCCTCTGAGGCTTAACAGTCGCTGTTCCCTGCGATGGTACTCTCAGGATCCCCTGTACTGTCCCTGAGGACTGTCCCTGCTCCTCTTCCTCTTCATCCTTGATAAGGGAGAGAACTTCAAATCGATTCTGTAGCTGCAAGCTCCCAGAACGATCCCTGGTTTCCCTTCTTCTGTGTGCGATGTTCCTCCAGCTGTCTACCTCCTGTGTATGTGAAGTGATCTCCTCCCCAGCAACATCCTCTGTGTGGTCCCCATCCAAGACCGTTCCATTCTGTCCAGGAAAATATCTTGCTCCCTAATATGCTGAAGTGTAGCTACCTGGGCCTCCAACTCCTGGACTTTCTCTTCTAGGAGGGCTACCAACTTGCACTTGGTGCAGGTGAAATTCCCCACATCTAGGCAAGAAGACAAACATCCCACAAGTGTTGCAAGTGACTGCAGCAGCTCTCTCAGTGTCCATATTGAGAAATCGTAAGTAAACACTGAAACAGGATTGTGGGCTTCTACCTCAAAAGATCCCCCGGTAAAGACCCACATAAAGGGCCTCTGTTGTCTTGGCCTTTTCACTAGGATCTGTCCGCAAGCTCAATCAACTGGGTTTATAATTCTATAGAGAGCTCCTGGATGTTACCTTATTCTGGATGCAAGTCTCTGACTCTCTTCCTCTGAGCAAAAAAACAAAACAAAAAAAACCTCAAAAGCCCTTAAAACTTTAAAAAAAAACTTTTTTACAGAGGACCTCTAAAAAGTTCCCAGGCCCCCTTCTACCTGTGCTGTGCTTTCCCTTGTCTTGTGAAAAATTTGTGTGCCCCACCCCCTCAGCAACAAACACACTCTCCCAAGTTTTTTTTAAAAAAATTTAAACACGCACCTACTCAAAATGGCTGCCCAGAAACTGCTTTCCTTCTTCTCCAGGCAGAGACTCATATGTTGTCTGCAATGCCACACAATAAATGAAAACTCTGGGCTTGTCTCCATTTTTAAAAAACACACCAGTTTACCTGGTGAGATGAAGGTGCCATATGTTGGAACTGGTATGAAGTCACATAACAAGCAAATATGAGAACAAGCCCACTAACCAAATCGAGAGTTTGCTCTTTTTACTGGTTAGAAATGGATCTACTTTTGAAAGCAAAAACAAAGAAAGCAGTGTGGAGTATACACAAATGACATTTTTAGAAGATAAGAATCTCGGTGTGAACTTGAGTGTTGCTAGGTTTTTGTCTGAGGCTGTCAGGATTAGAGAATAGTCAACTTCTGAATTAGTGAAAGATGCATGAAATGATTTCTCTCTGTATGATTTAGCTATTTCAGGGGCTGCCCTCCCAACTGGTCTATGAAATTTTAATTTATCTTGGTGTGTGTCTTCAGGTCGTTTCTGATTGTGGCAGCCCTAAGGTGAATGTATCATGGGGTTTTCCTGACAAAATCTGTTCCGGGGGGGGG